ATACCAACTTTAATATGAACTCTCCCAACTTCTCTAAAGGCTTAATATTTTGGAAGCCAAGAAATCATCCAGTTCAAATTCAACACATTTTAATGTTGCTTTGTGTTGCTTCACCCCCCAAGGATTTACCCCACTTCCCCTGGGTGATGGAGATGCAAAGGATTACTCAAGGCCCATCTCTTCTGAGCAGTGAGAAGCCCCGAAGTGATTAACTTCCCTGGGACCCTCCAGCGAGAAGGATCCCTTCCTCAGGAAATTAATGCCAAATTGGGGTTCTCTTCTTGCATTTATTTTCCATACCAGGAAGTTACAGGAAGAGAACATAGGTGGGGTTATAGTTTAACAATATAGGCTGGTAACTTTCAGTAAAACAAGCCAGATGACATTCTAGTAAGGCAATTAACAAAAGCTCGATCTTAGCAAGCATTCCTTCTCCCCCCAGCAGTTTTCCAGCAACTTAGATATCAGTCAGTAACTAATCTGTCTTTGAGCCAGCAACCTTGCTGTGCCACAATTCTTTATCTTACACCAGAGGCATATAGCCTGAGGAAAATTTCCATTCCTCCGCAAGGTCAATATTTGAAACTGCAAGACTTTGGAAAACCAAGCCCTGTGAAGTACATATGCTTTTTAGTATATTCCACATTTTAGTTGAGGACACTGGGTGAAATGAGAGGTCATTTGGCTCATTTTAGCTTATTGGTGGCAAAATAGGCACTCAAGACCCAGCTTAATGTCACCTTCTCTATAAACTTTTCCCTATCCTCAACCATTCCCTTTTCTGAACTCATAGGGCCTTTTCTACCTACCTTTATCATAACCCTTCTACCATAGCATTTACCTTATTTTGTACTGATCAGTTGTTTACATCTATTTTTTTCCACTTTAGTTTGAGGTCCTTAAAAGAAGGGATAACATTTTATTCCTCTTTGAACACCTCCCTATTTCCACTGCTGGGTAGCCACTCAAAAACTGTCTGAGGAATGAATTCATGAATGACTAAAGCTTTACTTTTCACCTTCCCTGTGACTATTCATTTTCTCCATTTACAAAATGAAGATTGCACTGATGTGTCTCTCAAGATAATTATAGTTACAAATGATTGCCAAGTGCTTCAAGACCATAAAAAAGCTTTATAATGCCAACCATGATTACTATCCTTGAAACAATGGGATATATGGTTAGCAAGTGGAAAAAGATGAGACATAGCAGATCATGTTTCTTCCCCAGTCCCCATTTCTACCACTACCCACAACCAGAGAATAACTTAGAGGTAAAAACATAAACCTGAAAGAAGGAAGAAGAGCTTAACAGGGTCTACATAGAATTTCCAGGACCTTTGCCATCACACGGCCATCATGAGGGAAAGCAATTAAGTCCGACAAGAGAGGCCCAGGGCAAGATTTCCTATATATATGGGTTATTTCCAATTCACTGCTGAAATGGAGACTCACATGAAGAAGGTACTCGGTCTTATCTACTCAAAGTTGGCTGGCCCTTCAAGAGCAAAAGATGAGAGAATCTGGAGAGAGACTGTCAAGGTAGAAAAGCGGTCAAACTCTACTCTATCCTGGATCTCCTGTGGCTGGCCCACCAAGGAAGGGAGGGCAGAATGTGTCTTGCTTACCTTCTATTCCTCCTTCCCCCAGATGTATCATACAAAGTAGCTAGAAAAGGTGTGTCATGTATTGAATGAATGGAGCATTCAGATTCCCTCTCCTCCTCCCGCAATGTGTCAGGAAAGAGAGAGGGCATGGATAATTTGTTTAGTTATTTTTATTGGGGGCCCTAAACAAGATTTTTGCAGCCAGGCATGACTCATCAACCCAACTTTTCACATGGCTGATGACATCCATTGTAGAGCAAACCGGGATCAATGATCAGAGTGTCCAGACTTGACATTGTCTGGCCTCAGAGGTCAGCAGCAGGCACAGAAAACACCGTTGTATACAGGGAGGAGGAGGTAAGTGGGGGAAGCTCTGGCAGAATGAGTCTGCAGCTCCAACCCAGCAGTGAGCTCCAGGAGTGGTTGATGCTACTTGTCTCGATGTGCCTGAAGAAATCAACCAGGTCCAAAACAAAACGGGCCCTTGTGTCTCATGCTGGAAACATCAAATTAGCTGGCAGGAGAGGATTTGTGGGTGGGCTGCTGGGACTAGTTGAGGAGGTCACTTCACATCACAGGCTTCTTGGCAGGAGGTAGAAGAGGGATCATAACCATGGACGTGTGGTTTGCAGTTTTTGCCAAATGGATCCTGTTTCCCCAGAGTTCTGGATGTGGGAACAGTTCAGCTTTTTCCCACTTCTCAGCCTTCCTATTGTCAGTCACCTCAGAACGTTTAATGCTTTGGCATAAGGAACCGGTGAGGGCGGCCCCCATGACCTCCTTTCTTGACGTCAGTGAGGGAGTTGCTCCCTGTGGCTGTCTTATGTGAAATAATTCAGCATTCGTACTTCAATTAAACTTCGTAACTGTATATTATTAAAGGGTACTGACTCATGCCATGGCCTCTCCTCAGCCGCATCAGTGCCCAAAAATGTTACATTCGTGTTCATAATGAAGAGTGCATTAAACTAAGATTTTTTTTTGTCAAACAATTTACATTCAAGGCTGGGAAGAAAGCACTTTCCTCATCTAGACTGTCACTCTGTCCTGTGTCAATCTTTTCTGAAGAAGAAATTTAAGTTAAAGATTCTTTCTGCCTTGAAGAGAGAGAAATGATACCTGACTAGGATCCTCTCCCCTTTTGTGAGCTACAGGAAAGCAGGGCCAGGCACAGGTATATTCGCAAAAATAGGGCTGAATCAAACTGAATTATGCAGCCCATATTTAATATTTCTCAGAGGAGAGGAGAAATACACCATCGCACATCACTCAGCAGGAAAATAAAAGAGGAAAAGAAGTTTTCTTGACTGTATAAAACCAAACTCTTTTGTTCACATTAATTTATCATTTTATATTTAAATTGCCCAGGAGCATGGCTGGGGAGGTGACAAGCCTGGTGCTTTTTTCTCTCCTCTGGCTCAAAAGGCTCTGCTTCTAGCTCAGACTTTGATGCTCTGAGTTGAGTGACCACAGATGGCCACGTCACCTCACTTCTCTCCATTTCCTATCTGCAAAATGGGCACCAAAATCCATGCCCAGAATGCCCCCCTGGGCTCCTGGCATGTGAATGTGCTCTGTGTTGTAAGCATTCAATATGATCATATAGGTGAAAATAAAAGCTGTGTGAGCTGCAGGCTTTTTACACAAGGGAGGGATAGTCATCAAGACAAATGGTAGTTCCCCAAGTGACTTGGATGAAAAGTACCAGTCATAAATATGGGGCTTTAAAAAGCACATACAGAACTTTGTGTGAATTACAAAAGGTTACCCTTTCTGGACAGACAGTCCTGGAGGTCTATACATTGGTAAGCAAGTACCATTTTGGGCCAAATAGAAAAAGGCACCCCTTCCTCTAGGTGGATGAAGGCTGTGCCAGGATTCCAGCCCCCATGTACGGGTTAGGCATTCTTAGTAGCCAAATTCAATGGCACTGGCTCTGCCTGCTTTAGTTCTGTAATCATGGGATCCTCTTTCCCACCTCTGGTTCTCAGTTTCCACCCAAAGAGAAAGACAGAATTGAATTGTGATTTCTATGGCCTTCTTCAGCTCCAAAAGCTACAAAAATTCTAATGTGTTTCCCCATCCATCTACACAAGAAACTATATAGCACACAAACTGCAATTTCTGAGCTTGATTTTTTTTTGTCATCCAATGACACTCCCTTAATAGTTGAAGGAAATTATGTATGGTGGAACAGATTGATGTGGAACAGATTGATGTGGAACAGATTAAAAAATAAATGCTTTAGTATATACATGATGTTCTAAGTTAAAGCAACATGGTTAACCTGTAAAACAAGAATAACTACTGTGTTGTCAGCAAATAGCATAAGATGTGGATCTGACATGATGACATCTATTGAGGCCTTCACCCACTTTCTGTGCGACTAAATATCGGAATCAGCACTGAGGTCCCTGCCACTCCCAGCATGCCCATCGCACCCAGGAAGAGGGAATTGCAAGGAGCCAACAACTGTTTTCTTTGTTGATGCCTCGTTGCCAGAAAACAGAAATTAGATCCTAGCCCATATCCTCCTATCAGCAAATCTGAGTGCTGGCAAGCTCTTTGCAGTAAAAGAGCAAACAGATAGCAATCAACCTTTTCAAAACTCAGGAACTTTTAGCCCTAAAATTAGGTTTAAGGTTTTAAAATTACATACATACATAACGAACCCATTCACAATTCTCAAAATGTTAGCAAAAGTAAATCTGCTTGTATTTGTGAATATTTCTAAAATTAGTTTTGTTTTTTATTTTTATTTGCTTTGTTTTGTATTTTGAGCAAGAGGAAAGGCTTCTAGAAACAATTACAACCCATTATGTCATTTTCAGAAAAAGAAACTGAAGCCCAGAAAGGGAAAGAGAGTAGCTCCACGTCACAGAGCAGGGATTATAATCTAATGCTCTTTCTACTTTCCCATGATAGAAAAGCAACCAGAAGGTTCAGTGGGAAACAGATGGCACATGAATCATGATAACTCAATTTTTGGCTTCAAAGGATAAATGTTCTTACCACCAACCAAAATCACAAGTGGCAGAAAGTAAATCTTACCTCTGTCACTGCCCATCACAAAGGCAGGCAATCTCCCAATGGTTAATGGCACAGGCTGTCCTAGGCTAGAACAACCCCAGACCCTGTGAACAATGTCTCTGCAGTGTCCTTAGAATTGAGACCAAGAACCATACATTCTCTGGATTAATGCCCATCTGCTAACCATCTCTGTTTTTTCAAAAGCAATGTTCCCACCTTCCTTAGGGCCCCCAAGTGCCTGCCAGCAAAACTAGTCATGGCCCAATGTTGCCCCTAGGTTGTCTCCAAAGTTCCTGGGGGAATCACAAAACCACTCTTTGAAAATAAACCAAACATTTGAGAGAAGAAAAATAAATGCCAGATATTAAAATAAGGCTCCCTTTATTAAACAAATCAGACACAAGCACAAATCTGTGTGCTGGATAGCAGCAAGGTGGAGGGGCCGCCAAAATATATGCAGATGAAGACTGAATTCAATCCAAAATTCATTTTTCTTGCTTAAGTTCAAAACATCCCTTTTCACCAGTGGACACCACTCTGAGGCAACCTGGCAATGGTGCCCTGATCCTGGAGGAATTAACGAGGTTCTTCCAAAGTCACTGGGATAAAGAGCCATTCTCTACAACCTCTTCGAAGATACAGCTCATAGGGCAGTCCTTCCTGGAGCACTGTGGAGGGTGAATCGAAGCTTCTAGTGTAACTGAAAATACCAGAGCCAAAAACTTCACCAAGGCCCTGGGAAGACTCGGGGTCCCTGTCTCATAGAGCACTCATCAGGGAGGTTCCTTCCTGGTGCCTGGGGACCCTCGTGCCTGCAATACCTGAGGCAGTGTGGACTCTGCCAGGGCTCCTCAGACCCGAAGCTCAGCTGACTCTGTTGAGACAGAGTTCGTGGCCATCAGTACTGGGGGAGGAGGTGACTGGAAGGCCTTCTGAGAAAGGCCTTCTGAGACCAAACTGCACACTAACTTTAGAACTGGAGCGTGCATGGGAGCTGCAGTTTCCCAAGAATGAGCTTATTCTTTCTGTTTGAGCTTTTGGATTTGCAGCAAATTAATTGCATCTGTGTATGTGTGTTGGAGAAGGGGCGACTAGGCTTTGAGAGATGAACTGATGAAAAAATGAAAAAGACTGAGTGAGGCAAAGCAAGCATCCTTAGGAACAGAAGGGAGATCTGGTGACTCATATTAACCTGTTAATTTATACCACGGCTCTGTACAAAAATAAAAAAGTTCTCATAAGATAAACAATTTAAATAAATACTCGATAGAACATTCTTTTCATTTTTATAGCTCATCTTTGGGGTTGATACTCAGTTCATGCTTCCCTTGCTGTTCTCGATCCAGGATTGCAATCACTTCATCCGCCTGTATTCGCTCCTGCAAAAAAGACAATTTGCACATTTCTCTTACAAGAATAATAATGAGCCCCAGTGGCAGATGCTTTCCAAACACTTCCAGGCATCCATCTGTACATGGATTGGTGCTAAATCCAGTTAAGGACTGAACCTCATCTTCATCCCCAGACTGGTGCCTTTTCCTGGCATCCCTATGTCCTAAACAATTACTTTCCAAGACTTCTCTCCTGCAAAGAAATCTCATATGTTCAACTGCTTACTACCTTTCTGCTTCATGGTCCCACAGACATCTCCAGCTCAGCTCCATGTTCCTACTGAATTCACCGTTTTCTCCTCACAGACCAACTCTGCTCTTCTTAACATATTCTCTCTCTCAGCAAAGACCAACAGTGCTCACACATTTGCCTTTAAAACCTGACAAGTCCCCTAGTCTTCGCCGTTCTATCTCCTGTCCCTGCCCCTTTCTCTTCAATGCATGTTTCTGTTGCCTTAGTTTAGGACAAGGTTTCTCACCCTTGGCACTATTGACATTTTAGATCAGCTAATTCTCTTTTGTAGGGAGCTGTCCTGCACATTGTAGGGTGTTTAGCAACATCCCTGGCCTCTACCTACCTCAGGTAGCCAATAGCATCTCCTGCTAAGTTGTGACAACCCAAAATGTCTCCAGACATTCCCAAATGCCACCTAGAGGGCAAAATCACTCCCTCTAGAGAGCCATGGGTTTAGGCCCTCAGCATCTCGTAACTCACTTGCCGCAGGAGCCTCAAAATCCACCTGTAACTCACTGCTCCTCCCACATGCTTCTCATGATCCTGCTCACTTAAATCTGACCCCGTCACTTTCCTGCTCACTGCTCACATTCTTTATGGGTTCCTATTGCTTGAAGTTCCAGATCCAGTTTTCTTGTGCTTATAAGGAGTTGCCTGTTTCAGACCTTTCTTCTTTGGCCTTATTTTGTTGTCTTTTCTCTCCTCACCTTACACGCCAACCTCCTAACTTACCTCAAGGTCTCTGAATATGGCACTCTCAAAAGAACTCTCTAGTCTTAGTCTGGGTTAAATGCTCCCCTGCGTGGTCCCATCATTTCCTATATTTTCTCTTATCCACCGTATCAGTCCATCAGCGGATCCAGCTGCTCTACCACCAAATTGCATCTCAAGCCTTCCACATCTTTTCCCTGTATCTGTTACTACCCAAGTCTAAGCCCACATTGGCTAAAGTAATCTTCCATATCCTGCAACTCCCCAGGACTGGGGAAGGCGGGTAGGGGGGACTATAATGGCTTCCCACCAGTTAGAATAAGTTTCACATTTCCTCATTGGCCAGTAGAATCTGCCCCCTGCCTCCTCTGTGTCTTCTCTACTTGCCACTGTCCCTCTTGCATGCCATGTTCCAGCCACTCGGGCCTTCTTTGTTTCTTAACCACTCCAAGCTCCCTCTTGTCTCTGGGCCTTTGCAACTTGTCCTCTGCCTGGATTACTCTTCTCCAGGCCTGTATCTTAGTCGGCTTCTTCTTGTCACTCAGGATGCAGCTCACACGTCATTGATCTCAGAGGCCACCCATACTCCTTTACTCTCAAATAAGTTACCTTGTTCTGTTTCCCACACATCATTTTTCACTCTCGGCAAAGCTCGTGATTATTATTATTATTTTTTTAACTTATTTGTTGTCCATCTCCTTCCACTAGAATGTGAGCTCCATGACGGCAGGGAGTCATCTTCTTGGTCACTGCTGTAATTCTAGTGCCCAGAAAACTCCTGACATTTGGCAAGGGCTCCATTATATGCATTTGATGAGTGAATACACAAATGGGTCAAGATTTTCCCTGTCTAAAATGCCTCTGTCTAAAGAAATCTTACTCATCCTTTAAGGCTTATTTTAAATATCTCAATGAAGCCATTTCTGATTGCTTGTTTACATCCCCTAAACACCATGCCTTCGCTGCTAATGATTTTTACTAAACTTTGTCATGTGTTTTAATTATTCAGGTCACTGTACTATCTCTCCAATTTGACTTCGAGCTCCTTGAAAATAGGGGTCATGTCTTACCTACTTCGTGTCCCCTATAGGTGGTCCCTAGCACAGTCAGTTATAAAAATAACTTTTATGACTTGAAAAAAAAGCCTCTTTCACTTAAAAGCTTTCAGTTGAAAATGGTATTATTGGCATAAAGGCAACTCAAAGGACCAGATATACTAAATAACAGAAAAGTAAATTGCTGTCATGATGTCTAAGTAAAATTCCTGACTACTACTTTATGGAAAGAACAATCTTGATGCTTAACAAATTGACACACATACAAAACTTCCAGATCTGCTGGCCACAGGAGATCATGTGCAATTATTGCAGTCATGTCTGTCATAAACAGGAAGAAATTCGATATATATATATGTGTGTGTGTGTGTGTGTGTGTATGTATGTATGTATATGAGAACACGCATATACTTATATATATCATTATATATATGCTTCGTATACATATATTTCAAAAAGTTCATTGAAAAATAGAATTAAAAGATAATAGGAGTCTTTCCATGAACTTTTTGAAATACCCCCGTGTATTTGTATGTATGTGTGTTTGTGTGTGTGTGTGTGTGTGTGTGTGTGTGTGTATAACTGAAGCTTCAGAAATCCTTGCATCATTAACAGTTTATGAAACTGAATACTCCAAAAGAATTGAGCACCTTTAAAGTGACGTATAATAAACATGGAAATCTGCCAGCTCCAATGACTTGCTTATAGGCAGGCTTTTTTTTTTTTTTTTTTTGCCCAGGGATTCAATCAGAAAAGGTGTCCTAAGCAAGGACTCCCAAACTTTGCTGCACATTAGAATCAACTGAGGAGTTTTAAAATTCCTGATACCCAGGCCACACCCTATACACCAGTTAAATCAGAATTTCTGGGGCTGGGAGCCAGATGTTAGTATTTTGTAAAGACCCCCAGGTGATTGCAATGTGTAGCAAAGTATGGGAATCACGGACTAGATTTTCTAATAGTTGCTGAAGAGGTTCTGGTCATTTTCCGCTGTGACCACTAGATGCCGCTACTGCCTGAAGAGTGGAGAAGTTTCCTAGGACTGTTTTTCCGTCAGAGGGGGCATTAAACCTCAGAAACTGATGTTTTCTGATTATGTAGTAACAAAGAGAATTTATTTTGTGCTAGCTTATTTTGATAGCACTGTACTTTGGAAGAAAGGGTTTGGATATTGAACAATGCTGAATTGAATACTAAAATAATAAGGCGATTTTTCAACAATTTATCTTCATTGTCTACTCGTTTCCCTGGGTTCCTTAGTACAGAAGGAGTGCTCTGGAGGAGTGCTGGTGTTTTGGAAGTTAGAAACACAAGGTAACAAAAGGGTATTATATGTGAAGTTCAGTGCCCCTTGAAGTTTTCAGAACTCTGTGCTCTGTTCCCTCTCTCAGGACCATTCCTTCTCTCTCTGTGCTGGCTGTCATCTCTGAGTTTACCTAAGTCTCCTCGATTCTCACTCCCTACAAAACGCAAATTGCTGTCTTCTCATTGCATATTTACTTGTCAATCTCTCAAATTCCTTGTGGTCAAAGACTGTGTTTTGCTCACCCCTGTACCTTTAGTGCCTACCTAGCAGAGTTTCCTAGGCACACAGTAGGTCTTTTGTACAATGTATGAAAGAATGCTTAGGGAATGTGGACAAAAAACCTTGTGAATTAAGCTTAGTAGTGAAAAGTATATGAGAAAGAGGGATTGTTCTTAAATAGGGGCTGATAAAATTGAGTTCAATTTAGGGATCTGAAGAGGAAAGTTGGGCAGAATGCTGTTTTGAAGAATGGGATTTCATGGATTCATCAGCAGTATGGGCTGGGGAAGACTTTATAGTCTTCATTTTGGCCCTTGCTATGATGCTACAGTTTCAATTTCAGGATTTCAGGCCAAACAGTTGCCTAGGCTTTGATTGCAGCCATGATATGAGCACTTCCAAAGCAGACAATTCCACCGACAGTGGTGATTATTTGAAAGTTATTCCTTACGTTGAACTCCTATTTTCCTCCCAGAGGTTTCTACTGGTTGATTTGAATTTATGCCTCTGCAACTTCACAGATAGAGATTGTAATCTCTGTCCCAGGGCAACCAAAAGGATGAGATCATGGTCTTTTTTTCCAGGCTAAGTGCCCTCAGCTACTTCAAATATATGAAAATATTTCAATATTTTATTTTACTTAGTAATAATAATAAATAATACTAAACTTTCAGGTTCCCTCACCCTCTTCCAAATATGTTTCATAAATGACTCAATGCTCTTTTTAATGATTTGTTGAGAAAACAAATCAGTCTTCCTGGTGACCAGTAGAAAATGACTCCACTCTCCTGATGCTGCAGTTTGTTAATAAATTCAAGACTGATTAGTGACTGCCAAACATCACCGACATATCTATTTATGAAAACATCTTCACCTATTAGAACTCATTTGATTAAGAATCGCCTTCAGGGCCAGGCCCGTGGCTCACTCAGGAGAGTGCGGTGCTGGTAGTGCCGAGGCCGTGGGTTCGGATCCTATATACGGATGGCCGGTGAGCTCACTGGCTGAGCGTGGTGCAGACCGCACCGTGCCGAGGGTTGCAATCCCCTTACCAGTCAGAAAAAAAAACAAAAAGAATTGCCTTCTGTGCCCCTCTCCTTTCCCTCGATTCACACTACAAACGTTACATGTGTACTCGCTCAGTCATAGATCTGATTGCTCTTGCTTAGAAAACAGTGCCAGTGGTGGAAACTAGAAAGCACTCTGTAGAAGTGTTGTCATGAACTCTAAGGTTCCTGAAGAGTTATGGAGCAATTTAAAGGACTTTTCAGTTAATCAGTTCATGAAGCAAGTCTAATTGGCTTTGTGGGTGGGTCAGAAACTCACCAATTCTCTATAAAGTGGGTCCAAGGTAAACCACAGAGCCACAGCACACCTCTGGCCCTTGGTGACTGCCTTCACCCCATGAGGGTTCTCTCCTCCAGATGAGAAGCTGATCATGCGCCCGCACTTTGGCTTTATAGAGGCCTGAGAAAGAAAGTGACAATTAGTCTATCACTTCTCATATCATGAACATTTCTGCAGCCCTTCCTTCACTGGCCTTTGATGGGATTATTTGTGTTAAAGTTTCAACTAAAGGATAATGGAATCTAGGGATTGAAGGAGACATAGATTGTCACAATTTGCTCATGTATAAAACAAAGATAAGGTCAAAATGAGATCTGTCTCAGAAAATAAATTTTTTCAAGTAAAATGTGTGACAAAGTTCATACACATAGTAATTATTCAATACATGGAATGTTGATTGTCCACAAATTTCAAGAAAGTAAAGGTTCTCTCTTTTAATTCACCTTTTTAGTTCTAGCATTAGCAAAATATTTGGGTACAAAGTAGGTGTACATCCAATATTGGTGGAATTAAAAGAAACAAATCAAGAGGACATCTGGAGTACTGCAACTGTTCTGTAATTGATCTATGTAGTGGTTACATGAGTGTGCCCTTTCTAAGTCCTTAATTGTACATTTATGGCTTTATGTACTTGTCACAACACAAAAATTGTAAGAAGTCAAGTCTAATTCCATATGATACTTATTTCCCTTCACAATATTTCTGCCCAGTGGTCATTTAGGCATTGCTTGAAAGCTATCCCTTGGGGTGACCTCTTCCAGGATCACCAAGTGTTCTGAGATGATGGGCACAGAACCTGCAAGCGTGTGCATTGCTCAGGTGGAGCCTTCCGCTAATGTGCAGGTAGAAGGGTGCAGTGAGGGAAAAAGAGATACCGCCGGCAGCACTGAGCTGGAGTGTAAGATCAAACGAGCAGGCTCTTCAAGTTGAGTGATCTTAAGCAACTGAATACCTGGGGCCTTGCTTCTGTGTTTAAAGAAGTGTCTGATGTGAATAGAGTTCATTTTTCTTTCTTGGGAAATACAACCACCTTACTAGTACCAAAGTAGAGCTTAGAGATGGAAAGTAAAATCAAAAAAGTGGTAGTAGTCATTCTACTGTGTGATATGTCAAGCCTGTTCTAACTGGCTACTTTCTGAAGTGACTTGAGTTGATACATGTCCATTAGAAGTACCTTTGGTTTCCTTCTGCATAGAATGAGATGGCCATGTTTTTTTCACTGCTAGCTTTAGGAGAAATGTTTGAAAAATTTCCTGAAGTCCCTGGATGCTGCATAACACAGGGACTTCTGTGTGACTACACTTAGAAGGTCAGAGGTAGATGGAGGAATCAAAAAGTCAGAGACCTAGGTGTGTGCATGTGTGCCTGTGTGTGCATATGTGTGATGTATTTGTGTGCCCGTGTGTGCGTGTGTTGTGTGTGAATGTTAAAGGAAAGAGCAAAAATCAGCAGTTGGTTCTGATTACAATAATTGAAGAGTGATTTGCCTTTGCTGGGTAGAGACTTTTCTGATATAAATTTAGAGTTTACTAGTTACTGGTGCTCTCAGTATCAATCTGATTCCATTTTTCTAAAGAAGAAACTTGTACATTTTCACATAGAAACAGCAAAACAAATGATATTTGAAGCATATGAAGTAAGACAGAAAAGCCTTCCTGGCAAAAAGCCTTGGGATCTGGAGTTTCTAATTTTCTAGGCTGCTCGTTCCTGGTGCTGGTCAGCACTCACTCATCTGCACATGGTTGCCATTGCTTCTTGTGATTATTACCAAGTCCTGGTGACAAAATCTTATCAAGGATGTGGAGACAGTTTAATGTTTTCTCTCTGATGGAATTGGAAGAATTGAAAGTATTTTTAACCACAAAGAACTTTGGGAAGGTTTAGAAAAAGAAGCTATCAGCTGCTTGAAGCAGCTGGAATTGATTATAGGAGGGTTCGCAAGCATCTCTAGGACTAATCTCACCAAACTGGGAGCATCAACTGTTATATGTCAGGTACATGGAGGAATGAACAGGTTTTAGTGAACCTGTCTCCATGTATGTCAGTGCTTCTCTAGGAAAATATGTTCTGAAGTTGAGATAGATGATTGTAAACATACTTTTTGAACACAGCCCCATTCATACTGAATTTAATTTTTCATGAAGCAAATGGAACTTGTTAAATTTTATCTTTTTAAAATCTTATTTCTTGTTAATTTTTATCTTGTTTAATTTTAAACTTCCACAGAGAAATCAAAATCCCTTAATTCCCATGTCTCACAAATAAATGCTGCTGTTGAAAATAACTCATGTATCTTCCTATATACTATATTCCAAGTATGACTTTAAAAATTCCTTGTGCTTTCCATCTCGCTGATGATTAAGGGTTGGAGAAGCATTTGTGTTGTACTCATCTTGAACAATTGTAAACATTCAGCCATCATTCAGTTAATTATACTATTTCCAGATTTTTCCAAAGGAAAGGACTTAGAAAACTGCTTTTTGTGTGGCCCCAAGTTATGCCATTTCTGTGACTTATTTGTACCTCCAGAGTCAACGAGAGGAAGCAGAAACAAAAAACTATCCATTTCTCTTTGTTATTGGGACTGGAATAAATAGCCTGTGGGAAAGAGGTAAAAACTAACAAGAATTTTAATTATCTACAAATATCCTAAACAATGATCATATGCAAATACAAAGTGTAACTGATTTGAGAAAATAAGCGTTCTAAAATTGGAGCCTTTGGTTTTAAAAATTGTTTAAATTGGTTTTACTTCTTTGGAGGGGGTTATATTCAGTGCTTTTAAAATAGTTATATCTTTTTCTTGAAATTGAAGATATATGAAAGGAGAATATTATCTTCCACATCTTTCAAAAGCAGAATTCCAGTTAACTTTCAATCAACAATTGATGAAACTGATTCATACATAGTATTGCAGGCATCACTTGCTTTTAAACATTGAGTATTTCCAAATATGGCCACTAGGTGGAGGAGAAGCAAAGAATATTTTTCAACCACCTGTCGGATTTTCTTTCAAACTGTGTGAGAAGCGAGCGTTTTTGTACCTCAGTTTCATTGTTAGCAGAGCTCAGAAATCAAATGCTTTCTACACACGAGCTCTTCTAAAAGCGAGAATATTATCCACAGTAGTGTGTCATGAACAATATATGAATCTTTCACTATTAAGCAAAGTGTTCAAGTTATGAGGGGAAAAACAAAAAACTCAGGAAAAGTTTTAGAACTAGCTTTTATAATTCCAAAACTTTAGATTTTATCACATATATGACCTAACTACTTAGATTTCATATGAAGGAAAGAGATACCTCATCATGTATTCATAATTTGATTATTTCCTCGATTAAAAAATGGTTTTTCTTCCATTATACATGTTCCTCGGTTTAAAGACAAAAGATGGTAACTATATGATCTTTAAGTGCTAAGTCAGCTGGTTTTCCAAAGGCATTGCTTTGCTTAGGAAGGTACTGGTTGAATTTAACTGTTGATTTATATATTTGTGTGTATCAATTTGTAGGTATAGGTTTATTACTTATGTCACAATTATATACATAAATATATACATATAGATACACACATATATGATAATTTTAGTAACTAGGGATTTGAAGGCCAATAATCCAAGCATGCAGAACACCAGGTTACTTAAAAGCTGTTTCGCTGAATCATTTGAATTATCCTAGAACTGAGTGACTTAGGAACTGATGTTTTTATGTTTCCATCAGATGACTTGACAAAGAATCCAAAGACCTAGGTTCTGGTTCCAGGTCTAATACTCAGTAGCTGCATAATTATGATCAAACCCTTAATATCACAAATCTTAAATCTACTTATCTTTAAAATGAACTAGAATATTTTTATGGATGCTTCCATTTCTAACATTTTCTAATATATGAATTTACTAGGACTCTCTCCACCTCTTGAATTCTTGAGCTCAGAAGTATTTGGAATCCATCAGTCCACGAGTCCTTGAGAAAATGGCAAGACTGAGATTTTTAAAAAAGCTAACTAAATTTGCAGGAATATATTTACTCACAGTCACAGTCTTAGCATCCATCTCAGTGAATATGAATTCTCCTCCTTCAAAGTCATCATTCATATAAAGGAGAGCACTATAAGAGAAAAGGGACAACCATTCTACTGTTTGCTTGCTTACAACAACATCATCATAGAACACTCAAGTCTGGTGATGAACTGACCAGCCTGACTGGCAAGTTTACTTTGAACTAGACATTGAAATAATTGGCCCTCCAAACCCTTGAAGGTAAGATCAGATATAGTTTGGGTTTACCCCTGAATAATTTATTTATCCCACTTATGTTAAAATTTTAATCACATTTCAAAGCTTATGTCACATTTAACTTTCTACAATAAAACCTAACTAGATTTAACTTAATCTGGGCCCATGAACCTGCCCAAAGTACTTATATAATTGTGACTTCTTTCCTTATATAATTGTGACTGTAAAGGATGCATTTTTCTCTCCCTAACTAGCTGGAGAGTTCCTCTGTGGTCTAGCCTAACCTTGCAGATAGGGGGCGCTCTATAAATGTTTTTGAATGAACACAGTCTGGCAATAATTAACATACTATTATGCATGATGACTACATCTCCCGACTCTTCCCTCTACACACTAAAATATCTGTCAATAAGATACAGCATTCTTTTCTTCTGAGTTTCTCGTTTGTTATTTATAAAATGCAGACATATTTCTTCATGCGTGTGAACACTGATATGGTAAGACCCCTGTTATGTGTTGGAACACTATCCCCTTCAGTTCTCCAACTGAGATACACATACGATAAGGGATATGTTTCAGTGAAAACAAATGATTAAAAAAATAAACATAAACTTTACATTTTACATTAAAATAAAATAGATATTTTATGGACTAGAATACAAAGTGTACATTATTTTTTAAATATAAAAATGAGATGATGACAACACTTCTCAGTTATGACAGCTACTTCAGGAGATTACTTGAGAATCTCTGCCTCACGGAGATGAATATGATGACAAGCAGAACAGAGAAGCTTTCTGGTTGCCATGGGTTTTTGTTAACTGTTGGGTAAAAGCTTGGTTTGGAAGCAGATGCTGGCTGTACCTATAATCCCGGAAGGTATAAGCGGGAGGCTCTTTCCAGCATTCGTTGGCCTCTGGATCCAACAGGCAGTTGTCAGCATGGATGGGATGACTGAGATCATTTCTTCTATCCTGCTGACCTGGCAGAAAAGGGAATGGGGAGACTGAGACACTGACAATCTGACTGTCTTCTCCCATTCTCTGGGTCCTCCACAAGCGTGGGGCGACAGAGCACAGGGTGGAATAGATGGAAGAACAGTGGAGTCAGGAGGCTCTGGCCCAGTTTTGATGTAAACCTGATGTGAACCCTTTTTAAAAAGTCTCTGCCTTTTTAAGAACATTTCTTTCAATAACCCCTTCATCGTCTATGATGCTTGTGGATGTAATGGCCACTGTGATTGTCCGGTTTCTGGTTCCTCGAAAAGGGAAGCCTGGAGCAGAAGAGCATTTTTCTGCATGACTTTGGCAATTAGGAAAAAGGGACTTGAAAGGGAAAATGTGCAAAGAGAGGGTCTTCTAAAGCTTTAGGCACCCAGAAAGGAGAAAAGGAGAAGGGAAGAGTAAGAGTTTGTAAGCTTCTTTAGTTTTAGAAATCTAGAACTCTTCTAAAATATTCCTCTAAAACGTAATAGGGCCGTGTTTTGCGTTGTTTTCTTTTGGTTGTTGAAAGAAACAAGTTCAGGCTACGGAATCTCACCAGTCAGGGCTGTTCTGCAGACCATGTGTGTATAGGAAAAATATAGGGTTGAGTTCAGCATGAAATAGGATTCTACGATCTTCCGAGCCTTCTCACTGATGTCATAAAACAGACGGGCGCTCTTCAGTGGGACTCGGCCTTCATAACCAAACTGAAAAAAATAAAAACATTAGAAGCCACTGAGTTGATTGGAGGACTTGAGAAAAAATAGGCACTAGGTTTCATAAGCCTGTGTAGGACGGTCGTTTCTGTGTGGAACAACGGGAATCCTACTACGTGCTTGTGGCTTTGGGTTAGGACAGTGAGCTCCTGAAATGAGCTCTTCCCAGTCACAGAGGGGAAGTTAAAAGCTAATCGCTCTCTCCTCTCTTCTCTCCTAATACCTTCGTCACTCCTCTCTAACAACACTTGCAGGAGAGAACAATTACTTGTTAGGGTATGTCTCCGCTATCACAGCATGAACTCTTTGAGGACAGGGCTTGTATATTTTTCGTCAGGTACAAATTTAGGACATGTAAAGTTTGATAAATTGATGGCTGAATAAAGGAATGGTTCAAAACAATGAAAGTCCCATTTCATACCTGCTCCCTTCAACTGTCCCGGTAAGTATGTATTCTAAACTCAATTCTCTTTCCTGTACCTGCCATTCACAGAAGCTCCTGGATTGACACTTAGAAACCCAAACTCAAAAGAAATTTCAACTTTACTTTGAGCGCTTTCAGGACGGTTGCACCTTCAAACTTTTCATTGGGGGTATGGGGTGAAGTTTTTCCTCTGTATCCATCACCGACAAGCATGATTCCCTGGAAGCAAAATGCACAAACACACTTTGTCAGTGATAACTATGAATTTATTGTGTCTTCTTTCTGCCTTGGCTGCCAGAAATCTGAGAACCAAAGCCAATGCTCAGAACCATTCCCATTTTATTCCAGGATCCTGGGATCATTAATTCTTCCAACCAAAAGAGACATTTTTATTTAATCTTCATTCTACATTTCATTATAAAATAGTTTCATGTGTTATAGAAATAAATAGAATGCAAATGATCACTATAGTAATTTTCGATTAAAATAAAATGATTTTCCCAGTGACTTTATATGATAGGCAGGGCATTTGCTGGATGGCCATTGTCCTAGTAATTAAGTCACTAGCTATTCCAGATCCCACCTGGAAAAATTAAAATCATCCCAATCCAAAGGCTATGAAAGTGCCTTCACAATCAATGTCTTTTTCCTAAAGAGAAATTTCAGGCATTATTCCCTGCTTCGAATGAAACCAGGACCAAAGCACTTCCAGGCTTATGACAGGCTAGCACAATAGGGGTCCCCTTCCCCTCCAGGTCCTCACACTGGCCACGCTGTGGAGCTCTCGGCACTGTTCTTCTGACAGCACATTATCCAGGAGAACTCGCTGAGTCCCATTCAGCTGCTCCGAGTTGTAGACAAATGTGACGTTCTCGTAGAGCAGAGGACCACCTGAAGGGACAGAGCACATCGTCTTCGCTGTTACCTCTGTCCCCAAGGAGGGGAGCACAGAACACCCAATAGCTTTCGATGTGCAGTTTTGGAGACTGTTTCCTCATGAATATTTGGGAATACAAAGACAAATTACAAATTAGGAAGCTTGATAAACACAGTATGGATTCAGGAAAAAGGCAGATGTCTGACTACCAGGTTTCCCCATAATATCATAATAATATGTTACAGTTGTGTAATATTTTGGTATGAGTAAACTATTTCTTCATTCGGTTCCAGTGATGATCTTAAAAAATAGACTGGGCACCTTATAGAATTCTTCTCTGAAAAGACCCAGCTTCCTCCACATCCCCTCATTCGCACCTGTTACAACGTCATAGGCAATTACTTGATTATGTGTTTCTGTCCCCCAGGCATGACATGTACACCTTGGTTTCACTGGCATCTAGGGCAGTGCCTTTATCAGGTAACTCAGGTAGTCACACCTAAGTCACCGGACTCCTCCAGTCTTCTTCCCACTGCTTAAGTGATCCTAGATTGTTTGCTTTGGGGGTATTTATTTTTCTCTACTGTCTAGGCAAAATCATTATGTTGCTTTTGCTATACAGGAGGGTTTCTTGTAGGCACCTGCTCTATCCCTGGAGAGAGCCCATGACTTTATTTTATTTTTATTTATTTATTTATTTTTGTCTTTTTCGTGACCGGTAAGGGGATTGTAACCCTTGGCTTGGTGTCACCTGCACCGCGCTCAGCCAGTGAGCACACTGGCCATTCCTATATAGGATCCGAACCCGCGGCGGGAGCGTCACTACGCTCCCAGCGCTGCACTCTCCCGAGTGCGCCACGGGGGTCGGCCCAGAGAGCCCATGACTTTATAAAATCAGCCTCATGTAGGCTCTTTAGAGGGTCATGCTTTTGGGTCACATTTTAGGTTGTGAAATTACAAAATCCAAAGTTGACAAGGTCCTTTCCTCAAGGAGTAGGACTGAAGGACAAAGCCTCTGGTGGTGAGAAAATCTTTAGATGTAGCAGGGAGAAACATCTTGACCCAGAAAACTGAAAAGAAAAAAAACCCAGTGCTTTTCTACTCTATATAATACTCCTAAGAGACCTTGTATGTGCCTGTTCCTAACAGCAGCTCACCAGCAAGGGAGGGGGGTGGGGAAGACACCACTCTTCTCTTTCTCCCCCCAGTCTAGAAATGGCACCAACTCATTAGTCTAAAACACATCTGTTGAGGAAGAAGAGACCATTACAACTAGTGTCCGTTTTATCTCTGTAAAATGTATTAGCCAAACTAGGGAACAGTACTATCTAAGTGTTTACTAGCCTAGTTAGGATAAAAGATTCACTACAGCCCATGATTAATGTAATATTAAAAGAATGAGACAGTGTTGTGCCATCTTGAGTGATGCATGGTTACCTGTCAAAGCAAAGGTTCCCTTAGGGACTTTAGTGCTGACAAATTTTTTTTTTTTTTTTTTTTTTTTTTTTTTTTTTTTTTTTGTCCGGCAAAAG